GTCCACCCAAATCAAGCCTCTCTTGTAAATGAGTCCCCGAGGCTCAATGGCATTAACCTGTATAAATAAAGGTTGAATGAAAAGTGAAGTGGAGCAGAGGAGCAGCAGCTCAGCAGAGCTGGGTTCGGGATGTTTCACACGAACATCTGAGTTAACACTGCTAACAGGACCATCCTTTAAACAAGACCTTGCTGCTAACAGGACCACGCTGCTAACAGGACAATGCTGCTATCAAGACCAAGCTTCTAACAGAACCACATTGCTAAGAGGACCACGCTGCTATCAAGACCAAGCTTCTAACAGAACCACATTGCTAAGAGGACCACGCTGCTAACAGGACAACACTGCTATCAAGACCAAGCTTCTAACAGAACCATATTGCTAAAAGGACCACGCTGCTATCAAGATCAAGCTTCTAACAGAACCACATTGGTAACAGGACCACACTACTAACAGGACCATGCTTTAAACAAGACATTGCTGCTAACAGGACAACACTGCTATCAAGACTAAGCTTCTAGCTGAAACACATTGCTAACAGGACCACACTGCTTAACAGGACAATGCTGCTATCAAGACCAAGCCTCCAACAGAACCACATTGCTAACAGTACAACGCTGATGACCGTCCAGATGACCTGACTGAACACTGTTGAATCCTGTTGAACCAAAGTTAAAAGTAATGACAGATTTTATTTAGTTGATCTTTGGATTGTTTTTGTTTCTTTTGATAGTTTCAAGTTGCTGCAGTGATTTTTGTGGGTTTAAAAGTTTGTTAGTTAAAGGCATTAAGCTCAAATGTGATGTAATAGCAGCGAGCCATCCCCAACACATACTCCAAAGGTTCAAGTGCCAACGGATCACTCGAGTTCATCAACATGGTTGTACTTCATCGTTTCTCATCAGAACATGATCTTAAATTCTGGCTTGGACAAAACAAACATTAAAGAAATGCTCAGGAAGCGTTCTCACTGCTGTGATCCAGTTTTCTTACCTGTGTTTTTCAGCGTCTTTCTCATCCCACAGTTTTGAAGCTATTTCAACAATTCGTAATCAAAACGTTCAGCTCTTTCAGGACGATCCTGCTTTGACTTTTGGTATTGGTGCAACTTTAGCTTTTTGAAATATTTAGCCTTTTCTGCCATTTTTTTTTCCCTCATAGAAAATGAATTGAGCTCATTTTACATCCTAATCTTTAGATCTGTTACAACCTTTTACTGCTCCTTTCACATTTTGTTCCGCTTCAGCTGCTTTCAGCTTCCTTCTGCAAATTTTAACTTTTTTCAGCTAATTTCAGCTTTTTTATGCTCATTTCATATTTTTTTCTGCCAACTACAATATTTTGTGCTTCTTCTAACTTTTCCTGCTAATTTCAGCTTGTTATGCTACTTTCAGCCTAGCAAGTTTCAGCTTTTTCTTTTTCAGCTACTATTTAGCTGTTTTACGCTAATTTTAGCTTTCTGCTAATTGCACATTTTTTTGCACTTGTTTAAACTTTTTTCAGCCTAGTTCAGAAAAAATGTGCTCTCTCCACTTGCTTGTAATTTTAGCTTCTTTCTGCTTTTTAGCTACTTTTTGGCTTTTTAATTATTTTTTTTTTTTATTCTAAATTTAAAATTTTTTTGGGATAATTCCTCTTTTTGTGCTCATTTCTGCTTCTTTCAGCCTATTTGGGCAAATGTGTGTTCTTTCTGCTACTTTTAGCTTGTTCTACCTTTTCAGCTACCTGTTAAATATTGTTTAGCTAATTTCAGCTGTTTTCAAATAAATTCAAGTTATGCTAATTTCAGCTTGCTATGCTCCTTTCAGCTTTTTTCTGCTATTTCAACTACTATTTAGCTGCTTTGTGCAAATTTTAGCTTTTTTAGCTACTTTTTTAGCTCATGTCAGCTCCTTCCAATTCCTTCTGGTGGTTTAAGCTTCTTTCTGCCTATTCAGCCACTTTTCGGGTACTTTTTAAAACCTAATTTAAACCTTTTTAGCTAATTTTTGTGCTTGTACCTAATTCATCAAATATGTGTTCAGCTTTCTTCTGCTAATTTAAACTTGCGCTTTCATTTCAGCGACATTTCAGCATGTTTTTAGCTAATTTCAGCTGGTTTTCAGCATGTTCTTGTGAAATAAGCATCCACATTGCATTTTTGCAGGAAATGTAATTTCTCTATTTCTAATTGATTTAGGAGTTGTCTTTTTTTAATAGCTGCTTTAGCCTCGCTCAGACTAGCCTTTAGCTCGTCAATCAAAGAGCTGTCTACAAGACATTAAATATTAATGGTCCGTAACCTTTTCATGCCACCTCACATCTACAGAGCAGAGGAATTTCGCTTAAATACATCTAACTTTTGTCATTTTATGTAGCAAAACGTTTGCATTGTTTACTCTTTTATTTATTTTCGTCTTCATAGAAGCTTTTTAACATTAAAGTTATTCTGTCGAAGTCCTGTTGAGAATAAACTCTGTTTTTGTCGTATTTACTCAAGAAGATGCCACGTCCCTCATATAGTCTCGACATTAGACAAAATCACCAGATTATGGAAAACTTTCCCGCGCTCAGCTCTTTGTCTCGGTGCACCGGGAGAGCTCTCAAGACTCCCCTCGGCTAAAATGTTGTAAATTAACGCAATTAGCAGATCGCCATTCTGCTAATTAGCCGCCCGTGTCTGCTGAGAGATGACTGGAGAAGAGAATCAGAGAGGAAATAGGAGTCTGGGGACACCCCCCCCCCCCCCCCCCTCCGCCTGCGTTCTTACCAAACAAACACTGTAGGCCTCGAATATGAGAAACTGTCGACGGGTTTGTTTTTTTCTTCTCCCCCCATGTGTATGTGTTTGCAGAAGCAAACAGAGGGAGAGTGGATCACAAAAAAAACTGCTAATCTCAGGCGAGCGTTGCTCAGCGGACCCCCAGCTGAGGGTCCCCTCTACATGCAACTGCCGCCAGTCAATAAGTCGCAGGAAGCCGCCTAAATGACACCGACATTATCCTTTATTTGTGCGCACTAAGTCAAATCAAACAGGGTTCAGCGTGCGGCGCGGCCGCTGTGATTCCGCCCCGTCCAGCCTTTGATAGCGTCGAGGCTTTGATGGCGAGACGACGATGGAGTCCCGCGCCACTGTCGGTGTTTGCAGATGGCATTGGCTGGGATTAAAGGAAACAGTGGCTCTCCAGCCTCCCGAGGCAATAAGGGGGGGGGGGGGGGGGCCAGGGGAGCGTGTCTGAGATGAGGTGGGGCGGGGGAAGGAGGGAGGGGGAGGAGGCGACACCGGCACGGGCGGAGTAAATAAGAGAAGTGAACACGAAGAGGGAGGGAATGAAAGGAGGAGATATATATCGAAATAGATTGAGTCAGAATAAAAGAAGGTGAGGAGGAATAAAGACGGCTCAGGGAGGAGGGAGGGGAAAATGGATGATCGGGGGTGGGGGGGTAGGCAGACGGAGGAGAGGATGGTGGAGAGAGGAGGTCAAGGTGGAGCTGTGCAGACAGGAACTAAGCTTCAGACACAATGTGTTGTAATTCATAGCTCGCCACAGCTGCTGTGTTTGCGTGTGCGCTTGTCCGTCTGGGTCAGTGCACGCAGGCTCGTGTGTGTTTTTTTTTTTTTTAAGGTACTGAGCATGAGCACAGGTTTGTGGGCAGCATGAAAGCACAATGAGCAGAAAGATGTGTGTATGTGAGGCACATTTTCAAACCCATCTCCAGCCACCCTCAGATGAGTTGGGGATTATAGAGTGACCCTGGACGCCTCTGTCTTATTGGTCTGGCCGTGGTGCATTAGTGCTGCCGAAACCAGCCGGCCCACCGCCCATCTGTGCTGCACAATACCTGCCGACGCTGCCAAAGTAAATACGAGGCGAAGACGTTAACATTCAGTGTAGAGCTGCCCACACAACCCTTGTATTATACCAAGTAAGCATCCAGGTAAAGATCAGCCTTTTATAAGCCCCTCCCCTCTTTGTCCTGGTGTTTTTGGACGTCTTGTCATTTTATTATTATTATTTAAGGCAAAGGGGCGACGGTGTTTTTGATCCTTTATGTGCATGTGTTTGCAAATTGTCTCCTTAAACCACTGGATGGACTTCAATGGATCTTTTAGGAACTTGTGCGGTCGGTCCAATTCAAGAGTTTTACAAGTTTACCATCATTTACCAGGTTTGATCATCTGATAATCGCAGTTTAGGAGTTTATCACGTAGGCATGTCGCGATAAACAATAAATCAATTAATCGCATGATAAATTAAAATTATCGGCCTCATTTTCATTTATCGGCTTCATCGTTTCTTCGTGTCTCTCTTTCTACTGAAGACACTGGATGACAAAAGGCTCAACTCCGGTGCTCTTCACTGACCCCTCCCTTTCTCTTTAAAATCCGTTTTAATTGTCCAAAAAAGTGTTTTTGAGAATCTGAGCTACAAGCTAAGCTAACAGGCCGACCACGGGGAAGAAAACCTCCATCTTATCAAAGTTCCAAAATTCACGGTCGAAACCCGTGCCTTCGTCTAAAAAGTTTTTTTTCTTTCAAAAAGAAGATGAGAACTTGTTTACCTTCTTTTTTTTTTTTATTAAGAACTTTGTGTGAAAAATACTATGCTAAAGAGCTCAAGCAACATCGAGCCATTTTGAGAAGTAAAAAACAGGAACGAGAGACAGCCCACGTCACGTCAAGGGGCCCTCCCTCCCATTTTTCTTAGACACGCTGCTCGCTCCCTCACTATCCATCCTTTGGTTCAAACGGTCTTATACTGCCTTCCAGTGGTCAAAAAAGGTACTACACAAAACCAACCAACATTTCTTCTGAAATTTGACAATAAATACTAATTATTGTCAAATTTCAAACAATATTATCGTTTATCGCAATAATTTCTGAGACAATTAATCGCCCAGCAAAATGTATCATGACAGGCCTATTAGTGCGTGAGACAGTTGATGTACGTTTCTTCAACGGCTGTTAGAGTGATTTTGGTGCGCCTGTGTGCTAACGTCTGCGTCTCTTTGTCTTTCAGGCTTAAAGATGCAGTGGACCCCCGAGCACAGCCAGTGGGCCGAGCAGCACTTCGACATCTCCTCCACCACCCGCTCTCCAGCCCACAAGGCTGAGGCCTACAGGGTGGTGTCGGGCCACCTGCAGCGATCCGCCGCCTACCAGTACGCCTGGGCCAACGACGACATCTCCGCCCTGACCGCCTCCAACCTGCTGAAGAAGTACGCCGAGAAGTACTCGGGCATCCTCGAGATGCCGGCGTCGTACTCCGAGGCGCCGGGAGCGATGAACGGACGGAAGGGCGAGCCTGAGCCCTGGCAGGATGGCGTCTACCCCATGAGCTGCATCCCGGAGGGGGTTTCTATCAGAAAGGGAGGTGTGGCGGCGGCGTCTGAGGTGGTTTCTGGGATCTGCAGCTCCCCGGGCCTGGCCTCCAGCACCCTGAGCGAGCCCAGCTACTCCAGCAGCAGCTGTGGGAGCCACTCGGTCACTGCCCTTCACTCCTCCTCCATGCCCTCTCAGGAATACGGCCCCACGTACAGCGGCTCATACCTGCACAGTAGTTACAGCTCCCAGTCTGCCCCCACCCCCACGCTCCCCTCCCCTCTGCACAGCTCTGGGCTGCTGCAGCCCCCTCCCCCGCCCTCCCACCCCACATTAGTCCCAGCTTACAACGGAGGCTCCCCTAACATGTCCAGTTATAATTACCCCCCTGCAGGCTACCCCGCTCAGAGCTCAGTCGGACCAGGATACAGTCCTGGAGGAGCGCCCCCTCCCTCCTCGTACCTCCCTTCAGGCATTGCTGCACCCACACCTCTCCCCCCCTCTTCTGCTTTACCTGGATACCCGTATCAGAGCCATAACCTGACCCCGATCGCCCCCACTCCTCTGAGCAGCAGCTCGTCCAACACGTTGAAGAGGAAGGCCTTCTACATGACGGGTCAAGGAGAGATGGACTCGTCTTACGGCAACTTTGGTTACGCCCAGGTTCGGAGCTCGGCAGAAAGCCCCATGTACCGGGTCGCTGACAGCAGCAGTGCAAACGGGGGCTCCAGCAGCGCAGGCGGGGGTGGATTTGACAGAAACGCTGAGAAGTCGTCTTTGTCTTTTAATCCTCAGAAACAGTCCACGATGCCATCGGAGCAGCAGAGGAAGTACAGCAGTCAGGCTACAGGTGGGCCACTGACTCCACCAGCCTATGTGTCCTCCACCCTGGGGGGCTCCCGCTCTGCAGACGCTCTCGCTAACTTCACCTCCCCCTCTCTTAGTGAACAAGGTGCTGATGATCACCGGCTCCACCTGTCCCACTCAGCACCAGGGACTGCTTCTTCCTCGTCCACCTCCTCCTCTCGAGTTGCCGAAGAGCAGCTAAAAACCTGTGACCCTCACCTCCTGGAGTTGGTGACCTCGGACGTTGTTCAGCAGGGCCCCCCTGTGGACTGGAACGACATTGCGGGCCTAGAACTGGCCAAGGCTACGCTGAAGGAAGAGGTCTTGTGGCCCATTCTGCGTCCAGACATGTTCAGCAGTCTAGGACCTGCCCCACGGTGCGTGTTGCTTTTTGGCCCCCGGGGCAGCGGTAGGACGTTGCTGGGCCGCTGCCTGGCCAGTCAGCTGGGGGCACAGTTCCTGCAGCTCAGCGGGTCCACGTTAGCTACCAAGTGGCTAGCTGACGGAGAAGAAATCATACGAGCGTCGTTCCTGGTGGCGCGTTGCCGGCAGCCTGCGGTTCTCTTCATCAGTGAGGTGGACATGCTCCTGTCAGCCCACCTCAGCGAGGAGAGCCCGATCAACCGGCTGAAGAGGGAACTACTGGTCCAGTTGGACTCAGTTCTTATGAACGCAAGCGAGGACGGGGGCAGCCACGTCTTGATTGTTTGCTCCACAAGCAGACCGCAAGACATGGAGGAAGGCCTGCGCAGGTACTTTACTCGGAGAGTGCTGGTGCCCCTGCCGGACAACGTAGCCCGTCACCAGATCATGAACCAGGTCCTGGTCCAGTCTCAGCACAAATTCTGCCTAAGCGAAGAGGAACTGGCCCTGCTGGTGCAGCGTACGGAGGGTTTCTCCGGACTGGATCTGGCCAGACTTTGCCAGGAGGCCTTCGTAGGTCTGTTGCATGTCTCCGCACAGGGCATGGACATGACTGGCATGATGCCCCGGGGCCAGATCCGGCCCCTCACCTACCAGGACATTGAAAGTGTCTGTTGTAAATTTCAAGCCAGTATATCACAGAAAGAGATTGACACTTACGCCGAGTGGAACAAAATGTTCGGCTGCAGCCAGTGAAGAGATTGACACTGCCCTTGAGAAAAAAAAAAAGAGAGGCTCCCACGATTCCTCCCCTCGGGGCAAAAGCATTACGCTAGAGGGAAAAGGCGCACAGAAGGCCAACACAAGCCCATTGTGATGTAACGAGCGGGGTTCAGATGCACCCAGGAAACCTAGTTTGACGAGACAGCAAGCAGTTTTTCATTAACGAGCAAGAGATTTAATTGAAATGCTTGACAAGCCAAGCGTCGTTTACATGTTGCAAGCAAGTCGGCTTTACATGAGACGCCCTCATGTCTGTATATAAAGTCACGTCGTCGTTCTTGAGGTTCAGTTGGCTATCCAAGTGCCTGAAGTGGTGCTTTCTGATTTATTTTCTTTGTTTTTATTTATTTTTTTGCCTCACAATCTACATTCATGGCATGAGCTGATGATTCTAAAAGAGCTTTAAAACCTCAGCAGCGAGTCTGAAAAACACAGATTGACTGCCGCGTTCAGCGGCGGATCTTCATCCTTTTGTCTTGCGAGCAGCAGTGACTCGTCAGGGTGGCAGTAGTCTGGACCCTGCCTCTCATTCATCTCCTTCAGATCCTCGTGTCTGCAAACAAACAAACAACACTCAGGAAAGCGTTTGTAAATTGTACAGTACCTCAAGATATCTCGACAAAAAAGCACTAAGATTGAAAAGGAGAAGCTGTCGGTTAGGTGTACCTCAAGAAAAAAAAAAAGGCAAAGAGGTGACGATGAATGTACCAGATGTGTTCTCGATCGATAGAACATTTATCTTTAGTGAGACTAAAAGCGTTATGCCTTTTTTTTCCTTTTTTAAATCATTGCGCTTACCTGTTTCTACTTGACCAATCATGAAACTTATTTCCATTGCTCTTACAAATGTAATGCTGTGTTATATTTTTGGGAGGGGAGGGGGGTTGAAGATGGGCAGGGGCTGGTGCTGTTAGATGTACAAATAATACAATTTTATAAACGTTGTTTGTGTTACACAATCTAGGCTATACGGTCAGGCTGCATGGGCACTCCATCGGTGAAAACAGGGGGTTCCCAACCCTGGTCCTTGAGGAACACCGTCCTGCATGTTGGAAGTTGTTTTCTGCTAAAACACGCCTGATTTTAATAAATGGGTGATTAACAGGCCTCTGCAGAACAAGAGGAAGTAATTAAATCACTGAATCAGGTATGTTGGAGCAGGGAAACAACTAAAACATGCAGGATGGTGTTCCTCAAGGAACAGTGTTGGGAACCACACCTTTAAAAAGCATCCATTTATTTGTCATGTGGCACTTTAAGCCTATATTTACAGAAGTGTTCATCATATTTGGGAAAACGCCCATTTGCTTTCTTTTCTGAGAGATGCAAGACGAGCTGAAGCTAATACCGTTGGCTGGTCGGTTTTGTAAAACCTTTTATTTCACGTAAATTCAAAAAAGTTCAAGATAAAAACAACAGGACTTTATTTTGTAACAGAAGATGTTTTACTTCTCATCCGAGGAGCTTTCTGAATTAAATGAACAGAAAGTGGGGTTCGAGTTATAAAGCTGAGCTAAGCTAGATACATATGCAGATTGCCCTATCGCTCCTCACAATAAGGGTTTGTTAGGGTCGTTGTTAGTCTGACTCACAGATGGGCCACTCTGGTTACATGGGTGAAATTCCTGATAGAAGTGAGCTTTTATTTCAAGGTTCCTACAGTCTTGAAAAGTTGGGAATATTATTGAAGTGGTTTCCACGTCTGCAAAAGTACAGAAAAATGCTGCTATTTATTAAATTTTCTTAAAAATAAAAATATATGGAGATATAAATTTGATTGATTGTGTATGAAACTTAAACGTAATCTCTGTTATTTTCAGTTCCGGCTCCTCTTAAATAACGAACTTACAGGATAGGAAATGCGGAGACAATTTTTTTTTTTTCACCATTTGTGACATTGATGAGGACGATGCAGCAACTTTAACCGTAACAGCCAAATATATATATAATTATTTTGGTGTGAAAGGACTTTGTTTGATTTTCAGCTAAAATTATTTGTCTCAGTAAAATTTTTAAGTTGAAATAAAACAGGTTAAGGCATTGTGAAGCTAGCACAAATTTTTTTTTTTCCCCACAGCCAATAATTTAACATACACAAACTAAAACAGCAACATTGTGTAAATTTACAGATTTTTAAAGTGACTTGTTGAGGTTGACGTCAAAACTGAAAAACGTGTAGGAACCGTGGTCTCTGTTCAGTTTACATCAAACCAAAGTTCACAAAAGATTTCGATGAGTACTAGCTAACACGCTAACTGTAGCCGAATGACTTCGCCTCTCAGCGCAAACACCAGTAAGCACATTTTTCAAAATGTAAAGTCGTACAATCAAAGCCAAGTTGTGAAGGTTTCAGATTTTTATTTGATGATATACAGTTTAGTGTGCGCCACTTCTTCGGCTAGTTAGCATTAAGCTAATCCAGTTGTTTTTTTTGTTGTTGTGTAGTTTAAAGTCCAACTGAAATCCCATTTAGTTATCCTCTTACTAAGCAGACCAAATATCCATGTTATGAAAAGAAAACAATGGTTCTGTAAGCACTTTTTTAAACATGTTTTTTATTATAATAATTAAATTATATTACTCTTTCAAATTAGTTGACATTTTATGAACTAAAGTATTTCTTCAATTTTCACAGTAACATTTTATTATGAATAAAACAAAAGTGAAAAAGCACTTCTAAACTGAATTGACATGCAGTAAATTTAGCTTTAAATTTTGAATTTAATATTGAGTAATGTGCACATTCTGTTGTGAAATAAAGCAAATGAACTCCTCAACATGTGGGTTAGAGAAAACTAGGATCAAATCGTCAACCCTTTGATTGGCAGATTAACACAAAACTTAGAAATGCGCCATACATTTGGTAATAACATTAGTCTACCACAAAACATCGTTTTTAGTGTTGGGCAACAGTTATCATCTTTCTGACTAAACTTAAATTTGGGAGGAAACAAATCTGTTAAAGTAAACTTCTGTGGAAAGCTTACTTGTTGTATAAACCTTCATGCTGGGGTCAGTTGTTTTTTTCGTAAAGTTGGCACAAAAAGTAGGGAAATTTGTGTTTGGTCTATTATTTATTTTTTGTAACAATGCTTTTTGTCAATAAACACTATACCATTAGAAAACCTGTTTATTTCCCCGTAAACTGTGCCACAATTGTTAGGAACATACTTTGCAGTTAGGGTTAGTTGCTGTGTTTCCCCTAACGTTATCCAAGGAGGGCGCCCCGCCCTGTTAACAACTGCCAGCACTGACATAGCACTAAGCTAGCAGCGCAATACAGACACGCTAGCTAAGAAGCTACAGACGTAACGCTCCAATTTTTTTTTCTCTACCCCCCTCTTCAGTCGACAACTGCTGGCACTAACGTAGCGTAACTGTCCTCCGACTATTCCACCCCCCGTTGACTAAAATCCCCGAAGACATGAGTGCGCCCTGCCAATGCAGTTGACCTTGGGGAAACACTGCTTTGTTTTTCTCCACAAGATGCATTGTTCGGTCAATATAAGATATTTTCCCCATTATATAACACAACAGCACCACTGTACAAACAGTAAATTACCATAAATCCACTTTGGTAATGGCTCCTCTCAGACTAGCCATTAGCTCATCAACTCAATCAAAATTCTTTACTTTGTAACCTGATGTCGTTCATATTTATCTACAACATCCAAGATGTTAATTCTTCATGAATTTTACACTAAACCTTATTTCAAAAAGTTTGAACTATGATTCTAAACTAGCCATGGCAGCATTATAAAGCTAGCCATGACAACAAATCTATAAACGTTTGAAATAAACCAATTTTGAACAAACTAAACTTTGATTGAACCAAAACTAGATGTTGTCAATGGACAAGAAGAGGGGATTTCAGTTGGACTTAATACTTGCATTTATCAAGTTTCTGAAGGAAAATACTCAATCGATCCATCAATCCATAACCTTTGGCTTGTTCCAGAGTTGGGTTGCCGAGGCAGTAGCTTGAGCAGGGAGGCCCAGACTTTTTTATACAGCCCTTTTTTGCTATTTTGGGAGGGTTCTAAGGCATTTATAGGCCAGAGAGGCATGGTGTCTCCATTGTTGAAGTGGTTTGACTTGCTGTTGATATGAACTAGGTTCTCGCACCATTTATATAGGACTGAATGGCCCATAGCAACAGACCATTAATCCCATACTCACAAAGCACGCCCTGTAGTGTATTTTGGGGAGCACGGTCAAATGCCTTCTCAAAATCCCCAAAACACATGTAGACTGGTTGGGGAAACGCCCACATCCCTTGGAGGATCTAGTGGGGTATAAGAACATTGCAGTGTTCTATGGCCAGGACAGAGCCTGCGTTGTTCCTCTTGAATTCAAGGTTCAGCCATTGATCAGACTTGTCTTCTTCTGAATCTCTTCCTAGACCTTACCGGGGAGGCCAAGGAGAGCAATTCTTCTGTAATTGAAATGCACCCTCCAGTACACCTTATACCTATACTACTTCTACTGTACCCATTTTTGAGGAGGGGAATGACTAACCTAGTCTACCAATCTAGTGTCAATGTCTTCAATGCTTATGTAATGTTGCAAAGGTCTGTCAATCACGAAAGCCCAGCAACATCTAGAGCCTTGAGGAACGCAGGGCAGATCTAGTGTAACTCCAAAGCCCTGCAGCTAGAGAGCTGTTGTACCTACCTCGGCAACCTCAGCCCTGGTTATGGATGAGCCAACCCCAAAGTTCCCCTGACTCAGCTTCCTCCACGAAAGACATGCTGGTGAGATTGAGAAGTATTCCTTCCATTGCCCGACGACATCACTCGTTGAGGTCAACGGCGCCATACTTCCACCATATACTGTTGGCAAAGTTCTGCTTTTTCTGCCTCAGCCGCCTGATGGTTTGCCAGAATTTTCTTGGAACTGAGTTGGGCTATAAGTAGACCCTCATGAGTCTTGCACCATAGGCAGCTCTAGAGTGGTTTAAGATAGTTTCAGAGCCCACATCATGCGTCGAGGTGAACGTAACTAAATCATGTTTATGTCAACCACATACACAAGCTCAGGCTCCTTTCCCGCCAGAGAACTGACATTCCATGTCCCAAGAGCCAACTCAAGTAAGCTAGTGTCAGAGCGCCTTCGGCTGCCACCTGTGGCACCATCTGCTTTGCAGGTGTACTTCAAAAAATTGCT